GACTTGACATCGCAATAGATTTCCTCCTTGGCAACTCAGTAGTAGAGCAAGTAACCTTTAACCTATTTCGGTGGTTTAGAAAGGCTTCATGTTCCCCACGCTTAATCTTCAGTTCCCTTGGGAATTGGACAAGTCGGCCATCTCGGAATGCTGTCTCTTAACCTCACCATGCCACGATTAGGATTTAGGATTTTTGAAATTTTGTTTTTGTCAAGGGCTTCTAGGGTTTCGGGTCGTTTAGGGTTCAGGGTTTGGCATTGAGGCCCGCCAGCTCTTAGGGCTCACCCCGCAGAAAAGTCCCTCTCAGAACCTGGTGCTCACTGGCCTCATGAAATCCCAAGAAAAGAGACCGAAAGAGGCCTGGACCGTCGGAGCCGTGCGCAAGCTGCTGGACCAGCTCCTCCTGCTTGAAAGACCCAAACAGGCCCTACCTAAGTACTTAAAACAAAGTAGAACGTAAGGTTTCCAGAATGGGAGTTCCCCATAAAAGGGACCCCTCCAAAAGGAACCCCTTAAAGGAACCCTTAAAGAGCTTTTAAGGGGACCCCTTATAGGTACTTAGGGCCCTTTGGGAGATCCACCTCCCCTCCGCGCCCCTCGGCCTCGGGGTTCGAGGTTTGATCGGTTCAGGAGGGGATTCGATGTTAGAGCACATAGCAGCAATTTGTAGTCGAGAGTCTATTATGGTTTAGTTAAGTATGGTAGAGTATCATATCGTATAGACTATAGTATAGTATAGTGTAGTATAGCAAAGTACAGTATAGTATAATATAGAGCCTAGTGGGCGGTCGGAGATGGTGAGACGCCACAAGTGGCAGTGAGGAACATAGCAACTCAGGGGCTGAGTAGGTAACCTTAAAGCTTTTTGGGGTGTGTATAATCCTTCTATAGTTCACAAGGCACAAGGTTAACCTTTGTTGAGCTAGGGCAGCTAGGGTTCTCAGCCCTTAAGCTAGAGGGACTTCCTTCTGGGCCCTTAAGTGGTACTTCAATGGACCCCTCGTGGCACCCCGAAATCAGCAAGCTACGTGCGAGACTTGATCGGCGGTCCCTTCTAATGCCCAGGATGCACGAAACCGCAGCTCGCTCGATCTAGCGAGAAAAACAGAGATATTTGTTTCATCTTCGGTTCGGTCCCACGGGGATGATAGAATCAGCAAGCCCCAGAACAGATCCCAGTCCTAACCTGTCGTGTGCAACATAAGCCTCAACATCCGAAAGCCCAACAAATTGAATCCCCAGGATAAGCCGGCAAAAAGAAACAGTCACATCAAAGCCCAACTCTAAACCCTAGACCCCCTCAAGCCCTAAACCATCCTAAACCTTAAATCCTAAATCACTAAAGTCCTAAAATCCTAAACCGGTAATCCCTAAAATCCTAAAGTCCCAAAATCCTAAAACCCTAAACCCTCAATCCTTCAATCCCAGGTTCTACGATCGCTTTCAGGCGGGAACTGGCGAGGTCGACGCCGACGATGCCTGGGTCGTTCACGACGCGGTGCTTCCGTGGCTGGGCCTGCCGGGGAGCACCTGGCCTCAACCGAAATGGGGGGGGGGGGGTTCCGGAAATAGGGTACCTTGTAATCAGGGTCCTACTATTTAGGGTGCTATATTAGGGTCCCATATTTTCGGCAGCCCCCAAATCGTGATTCTGCATGGCCGATTTTTTGCATTTTTGGCCCTCCTTATATGGACGAGCTCATGTCTTATGCACATGTATGCGTTTGTATGTATGATGAATGGAAACGCGCATGTGTTGCCCATGTTTGTTTTGCTTGGTTCTTGCTTTAACTGTGTATAGCGATTATCTAGAGTCTTGTTTCTGCGAAAACCCATCCTGTCTTATCGTATCCAAAGCACGGACACGTGTGCTTTGCATGATCACGTAGCTTTTGGTGCGATTGAAATCAGGATCCAATGATGCTGGTAATTCTCGCCCGTGCTCGCAGTCTTGCAGTTGCTAATGACACAATGAGCATCACCGGGATTCCATCATTCATTCGTGGACAGACCGTGTTTGCCTGCGACGAAAGGAAGCGGAGACCCAAACCCTAAACCCTAACCCCTCAACCCTAAGCCCTGAACCCTCGCCCCCAAACCGTAACCCCTCAACCCTAAACCCTGAACCCCAAACCCAAAGCCCTCAACCCTAAACCCTGAACCCCAACCATCAACCCTAAACCCTGTAAGCCCTAAACCCGAGCCGTCATCGGCAAGGCAGAGAGCTGCGAGCATCCGCAGCCTGGGAGCTTCGGCTGCAAGCAAAAGACTCTTCAAAGGCCCCACAGAGCCGACAAGCAGTCCGGGCTGAAGGTTCCTTAAATTAAAGGATCTACAAGGGTTTCTGATTCTATAGGGTTGCTGTAAGGCTACTATAAGGGTTTTACTTACATGTGTTTTTCGAGTGTTGCTAGCACTTGCATCCTTCTGTATGTTGCGCAATTCCATGGTTCTCTAGTCTCTCCGAAGGGCGTACAACGTGTTCCAGTACTGCTGCATGATGCACACCAACCTTGTCACCCTCTCCATGCCTGCTAGGAAGCGTTGAACCAGCTTCTGGCAACGCAGCGCCTGCGTTTGCAGCTCGATGCGATATTACAGGTAGTATATTCTTCAGGGTTCTGCTGTTTCGTGCCCAAGCATGCTTCTAATACATGTCAGTGTCGGTTTGAGTCTTGAAGCTCCGAGTGTGCACTGCAATGCGCGCTCTGCAGCACAGCCCCGCCGGAGCAACACCACGATGATTGCAGACCCCCTTGCTGCTGCCACTGGCACTACTGCAGGGGCCTTAATACTATAACTATAGTAAGGAGCCCCAAAATAGTATAGGTAATTATTAAGGCCCTTGTATTACAGCCTACTCCCCAAACCCAAGCCCGAAAAGCTCTGTCCGATGTGATGGCTCTCAGTTTCTTCGACGAGCCCAGGCAAGGCATGCTGGAAGCCTCGGAGGCATCTGGCCTTATTCAGGTCTCTGCAGCTTTTCCCTTAGACGACTCCAGGTTGCCGGGATTGTACATGCTTCCGGTTCGTTCGGCTTTATCTTCTGCCTCATGGTCGACATCTTGGGCTTTTCTGCGCCTTCAGAGTTCAGGATTTAGTATTCTTTTCAAGGATGTAGGCTATCGGTGTTTACAGACCCGAAAACCTGCACCCTAAGGAAAAAGGATTTATGAAGTTTAGGGCGGGGATTTGGGCTTGGGGATCGAGGGTACTCGTGCCTGTCGCCTGGTCTTCGACTGGATCTGCTTTGAACTGTAGCTGCATGTGCTTGGTCGCATGGAAGGAGGGAGACTCGTGCATGTTTGCTTTTCACGGAAGTCCTAGTCTAAACTGCAAGCCCGTCTGCGCCCAAGTCACTGCCGATAAATGAAGGGGGTTCCTAAATGTTCAATTTTCTTAGCTTCGTTTCTTTGCTGTTTCGTATCGTTGCAACATACGCTCGAACTGATACGCACCTGTAGTGCGAATCCGAACCAAGTGACCTCGTTTGGCAGGGTCCGAGTTGCGAGAGCGTAAACTCTAGCTGGGCGAGAGGCAACAAACAGCAAACCCTTTAACTCCTAGATGCCTGGACCCTAAACCCTAAACCCCAAACCGGGGCCTAGATCCTAGAGCCTATAAACCCTAACCACAAGCCTTGCCGGCATTGTCCGAGCGTGAGAGCCGAAACCCTAACCCTTTCAATACCCTAAACCCTATAGACCCGAAAGCCAATCTAGATCCTAAACCCCCTCCCAAAGTCTCCGAAGGAGTTCGCTGCCATCCTTGTCTCTGAACAGCGACCGGAGACGAGCATCATCCGGCGATATCAGGACCTCAGTCCATTTAGGGATATTATTCAGTGTTAGGGTTTAGGGTTTATACGGTTTAGCTATCGGCACGTAGCTCGCGTTCCATGTCCATGGATTGAAACCTGAACTCTAAACTGCAAGCCTGCAGAGGCATGCAGAGGCGTGAATGAAAGCCATTAGGTTCCTCTAAACCCCCAAAACCCTGTTTGAATTATTGAGGCCCGCTTCCTGTAGTTACTATAACCTTGGATCCAAAGCATCGAGGCCTGCCCCTGAACACCACAAAACAGTATTTGAGCCTGGGGATGTTGGGGCATGTCAAGTGGAGCTCCGGAGTAAATCCAGTTGAGGCTTCAGGGTTTAGGGAAAAGTCGCGCCTCCAGAAAAAAAGTCCGAGTTCTTGCATGGAAGTTGGGGTTTCGATCGAGCTGCTGATGCTTGAACCAACCGGTTGGCCAAAACTAAGCGAACCCGGACCTGCCCTAGCCTAAATAGACCCTATAAACCTTAAAACCCTGAACCCTAAACCTTAAACCCCCAATTCAAAAGAACCTAAACCCCACATGGATCCCTTAAAAAGAAGCCTTAAAGGAGCCCCTCAAGGTCCCTTTAAAAGAAACCCCTTAAACCCTAGAGGAGTGCCTGCAGACCTTCCGCATTCGCGGCCTGGGTAGCGACCACACCTGGCGGCTTCTCGCGGGCTTCGGAGCGCTGCCGGTGGCCGCGGAGGAGGTTTCGGGCTTAGGCCTAGGGTTTCGGGTAGGGTTTAGGGTTCAGGGGTTAGGGTTTAGGGTTTAGGGGGGCTTAGGCTTAGGGTTTCGGGTTTGGAGTTTATAGGGTTACGGTTAAGGCTCAACGTAAGAACTTCCATCATTGTTCGATGAAGGCTTTGCTGATGTGGTCCAGGACGACTGAAGTATAGCCGTGATATTGTTGTGGTTTTTTTCTGCGTGCTGTGAGGATGACGGGGATGCCTGGTACATGGACGAAGCAAATGTGACGAGAGGGCTTGATGACGACCACTTGTGAGCAATGGCCGTGGGGTTGCAGTTAGGGCCCTGCCTAGCGTCATGTTCTTACACGTGTATTTTCGTTTTGCAATTATCATCTTATTCATGGTGGTGTGATTATCTTGTGTTGTTGTATGTAAGGTAGATGCCTTGTTGGCACAATTTCCAATAGCTGTAGAGAAGTTAACCATAAAAGGTGGCCGCCGCACGCGCCGGGACCATTGAGCAGAGCACATCGAAGGGGCAGACCCGCGTGGACGGCCGAGGAGAAAGGCAGTGCCTCAGCATCCGATTAGGCCTTTTGTCAGCCATGAGGTGATCAAGAGGTTCATGGTTTTCATAGGGTTGTCGCACGGTTTTTACATTTCAGTTTTGCAGCTTGTTTGATATTAAGGATCTGAAACGCTCTATATGTAGGGTTTGAATGGAGTGGGTTGACGGGGTTTCTCAGGGGTTCTCAAAGTTTTGGCATCAAGCCTTGTGGGTCTTGCAGAGTCTTGCAGCACAAACTTAGTTTGTAAACGCCTACTTCCTTAACGGTTTTTTGGGGGTCTAAGTTTACCGGGCTTAGGCTTCATGCGGGTCTCAGGGTTTCGGGTGTAAGACTTCGGGGTTTACAGCGAAGGGAGGCCTGATGTCAGCAAGTTGACTCGTTTGAAGTTTGGCCTCGGGGTGAGGGTCTCTAGCCAGGAGAGCCGATTTAGCTTATGGGGCGGTGGGGAGACAAACAGGTAACAGTCAAAGGCCGTGGGATGCCTCGCAGGACGGTGCTGGTGCGCCTTCTCTAGAAAGACACTGCGCAAGATCCGATCTCAACATCCAATCATAAGTACGGCTAGCCTGTCGGACTGCCGTTGAGGCCAAAGACTAGAGCAAAACAGCCCCGAGGCTCTGCGCGCTCTGTTTGTGCAGGTCATGAGCTCCATGATATGTGGGCATGGAGTCCCCGAGCATCATCGCTGATTTCCTATAGCCTATAGTCTCCGTTGTAGTCCCTGTTTTGGGTTTAACCATTTTTGTAAGTAGGATCCTAGAAGGTAACCCAAAAAAGGAGCTACAATGGAGACTACAATAGTATAGGTATACCACCAATTAGAGTTTTCAGGTGATCATAGCATTGCTCAGAGCGAAAGTTGCAGCCAGGAACTGGTGCTTTTTCCGGGCCTCCGTGCACGTTCCTGCTGCACAGCCGCTTGTGGCTACTGAAACTGGCCGGCTGCTGAATAGCAGCGTCGTGAAGTACCGAGAGGACACCTTGCATTCAATTCTGAGGTGTAATTACAGGGTTTCGTCGATGATCGGACAAACCTGAAAGTGGCTTCAAGATATTCATTTACGGTCCGGGCATGTGTGGAGCACGAGGGTTAGGAATACATGCAAATTATTCTGCACGCAGGGCCACTCCGCAACGTTTGGGTCCTCCTTTGTCGCTTTGGGCTCCGCAGGCATGTCCTAACCTTCTGCTACAGGGGCACACAGCAACAGCACACACCCAGAAGGATCTGACAATGAATCACAATTATAAGGGTTTTCCTGGAATCTCTGAAAGTCGATCTACCCCCTTGAACTCACCCGGTTGATAGGGGACCCCGGTGGAGGGGACCCCTGTGGGTTGCAATTGCCAATGGGGGGCAAACGGGAACCATTAGCCCCCATTAGGCCTCGTTGGGCCCCATTGGCAAACTGTAACCCACAGGGGTCCCCTCCACAGGGGTCCCTTATCAGCCCTTTGTGATAAACGAGATCCTGTTGTCTCTGGTCTTTTGGACCGTATTCCAGTTGCAATCTAAACCGTTTCAACGCCATAAACCCCTCAACGTGCGCGTGATTGTGGTATGCTTTCCCGTCCTGTCAACCGATGGTTTCACGCAGCCGGACTCAAGAAAACATGCCTCGCCTGGATTGTCCGAGTGCGAGCGCCGAAACCCCTCCACCCTCACGAAACCCTAAACCCTAAACCTCATTAAGACCTAAGCCCTACACCCTAAACCTAAGGACTGTGGCGGTTTCATCCACGTGAAGCTCCATCACGACCGCGTTGACCATCGAGAGCCTTGGTTTCCATTGGTTGCCGTGCTAGCAGGATTTCCTTAACCCTAAATAACCTACCTAAGTAAAGGACTTTTGTAAAACAATCATAATAAAGATTCCCCAAAAGGCAGGTTTTATAGGGTAAAGGTGAGGGCGGGTTTAGGGCTTGTGGGTGTGGGGTTTAGGATTTAGGGTTTAGGGCTGAGTCCACAAAAGCACCTAAACATAAACTATGGAAACCTACTTGACTTGATGTTATCTTTAAGCAGTGCCATTTTGGGTGCTTTGGTGGGCTCGTAGTTTGTTAACTTTTGAGTCCCTAGTGTCGTAGAAATATAGATATGCGGGAAATGCGAAACTCGAACTTCACACACTAGACCTTGTGTAGATTTTGCGTTAAGAAGTCCCTTTCCCTAACAGCGGTCATGAACAGAGGAATCCTCACCGCAAGCCTTAGTAATTAAGGGAGCCCAAGGGATCCTGAGTAGCTGTATGGGGAATACTTCTCCAAACCATAACCCTAGGGGTCCAAGTACTTAACTTAATACTCATATACTCTTCTGAATACCATCCTACAACACTACTATCCGTAACCCAAGCATATGATTATTAGGTCCTTTGGGATTTTAGGGTAAATGTAACTATTACATTATAACCCTATACTATCTAGTCTGTAGGTACTTACGATACTTTGGGGAAGGTGTTCACGAGCCAGCCTCCAGTAAGGCAGCGAAGGCGAAGGTCTTGTCTCTGAGGTTGGAGCTTTGTATCGTTCTCTTGGTATTATAGGTTCAGGGGACTTGCTAAGTGGATTATAATTAAGCAGGGTTATAACTGCGGTAACTCCATTTAGGGTACTTATTAACTCTATGCTTACAACCTACTTTGTGTGTTTTTTTCTGGGCCTCTAAGTAGCCTACACCCCGAATCCCCAGCTCCTTCTAGCAGGAACCCCAAGCCCTGAAACCTACATAAACTACATAAACCTTGTAAAGCCCCGCATTGTGGGTAGCCCTCTAAATTAGGGTCTCTAGGCCTTGTTGGGTCTTTCTTTGTAAGGGACCCGATGCCCGAAACCCTCGACACGAACTACCCACAGACACCCGAAGAAAGGCCTGGGATGCCGAATTCCGGGCCATGGCGCGCACGGCCGCTGCGGCGAGGGCTCTCCTGCAGGCTTTATTCGGGCTTTGAGAGTAGGAATAAGGGTTCGAGAAAGGTCTCATAAGGGCTGCAGCTTATAAGGAAAAATGACGGTACTATACCGGCAGAATTTCTTAAGACATCTACAAGGGTTCTATGTGGTGTTTCAAGGCTTTGCCAGGGTTTGAGAACTGTCACCTTGTGCGACACCTCGTGGTTTGCAGTGGTTCGAGCAACGGGGCATGCATTTGAGGCGTGCGTGCAAAAGAATACACCAGCAATACGAGACCCCGAGCATAACAGCGGCACCCTACGTAACCGTGAGCCCTCTACTTCCACGAGCGGCCGGAGTAGTTCCCCAATCCTGTTGAATTTCACACAGGAGAACATGAACGCAGCACGCTTGGTAACAGTAACACAAGTCCGACATGAAACCAAAACTTGGGAGAATACCCATACATGTTGAACAGAAATTGGGCGTCTGCGGCGGGGAGTTCGCGGATTTATGCGATTCAGAGTTGAATCTTGTTTGTATGGTCTGAATACAAGGATTGTAACCTTCAAACTCATGTAGTCAAGATTAAGATCGAATAACAGCCTTCCGTCTAAGAGCGCTGTTTAGTTTTGTCTAGCCTAATACTCAACTTCACCCTGAACTCTAACCCCAAAACCGGCAGGTGCCGACCCTGCGACCGGAGGAGGCTTCGGTTCAGGCGCAGGAGATGCTCCGCACGGGCGCGCGGCCCGAGGTGGGGGTTAGAAGCTTAGGATTTTGGGAGTTTGGGGGAATTTGGATGTTTAGGGTTTCAGAGTTTTGGCTTGAGGGTTCTTGGCATTAAGACCCAGGGCATTATAGCCGACCCGCTGGTGTAGAGTTTAGGGTTAAGGGGTTTAGGCGGTTTCAGGTATTCAGTGTGTACTATGGTTTAAGTTTCACAGGCCTGATAATTTGTGGGAAGGCTGTTGGAAGATACTATGCTGATGGAATTGTTCTAGAATCGATGCTCATAGCCAGACCAGGCAACCATGCCTTGTGTCATTGGTACCGCTGAGATGAAGCATATCCTGCCAGCGCTTTAAAGTTCAAGGGCATGCAAGACATCGTTCGATCTTCATCTGCATCTACGCGAACTCTTTGAGTCATTACCTTTGCATACGCAGGGTGATTGCCGGTAATGGCCCTCATGGTTGTAACACCCTGCTCCTATGTGACAGGGCCAGCGATTGCACCTGCCACACCTCACAACTTGAAGCTCCAAGCCGATTAAGGCCCTAAACTACACCCCTCCGAAACTTCATTCACCCTAGTTGCTCTTCCGTAAAAATCCTGAACCCCCAGAGCCCAAATTTTCATAAACCCAACCCAGAATCAGCTGCTAGACAAGGCAGAACTACCACGTGTGGTCACCAGGGACGCCGAGGCTGCAGACGGGAAGCTTTGTCTTCAGACTTCGGGGTTCAGAGTTTTGGGCCTAGGGTTTAAGGCAGATTCCCTTAAGGTTTGGGGAAATGGTTCCTTCGGAACGTAGTATATCTGTGTAGGAAGTCACTAGGGCCGAAGAAGGATTGCAGAGGAATGGCTGCACGAACAGGGTCCAAATTTAGGGCTCCTCAAAAGGATCTGCAAGGGTTTCTATAGGGTTCTCGAAGGGCACCATAAGGGCTCTATGTGGGTAGTTCTCTAAATTAGGTCACTTTAAATGCTTCTTAAAGGGAGCTTTCGGGCTGGGGTTTCTCTAAGGGTTCGATATGGGTAGTTCTTTAAATTAAGGTCCCTTTATTCTATACACAAGGATGCCGTACTATCTTGGCGACCTGGGGCACCTGGGCTTACCCAAAAGGTTCCAAGCACCTGCATGGTAGAAAGTAGGGTTTCTGTAGTAACAATGTTTCTTAAGGATTGGGTAAGTATCCCCCGTACAGCTACTTAGGATCCTTGGGGATAGGGCCTGACTAATAGCGTGTTCTATCAGTCTATCAGGGTTTTCTAGTAGAAGAGACAACAGAAAACCCCACCCAACGCCCTATATAAGTTGCGTGGGAATCCATAACCGACAACCTCTACATGTACCTGCAAGTTAGCCTTATCCTCTGGGCTAATCGCCGCGCCCTACCAACAGCACGCTCCGGACGCTGTGCGCCGCAAATCAACTGCTCGGAAAGATCTCGATCACCAATCGCCCGGAAGCCACGCCACGCAACCCTTTAGAACATTCCAAAGCATGAAGCAAGCGGTGAATCCCATCACCTCTTACCCAAAGTCTTCATTGTATTTCATTTTCTGTTCAACCAAGTAGGACCAAGTATTATATCTAGGGTCCTACAAGGTAACCCAGCAAAACCTTAATCCCGAAACTCGACAGCACTAAAGCCCAAAGGCCCCCAAAGCCCCTACAAAACCCTGATCCCAATCCCAAAACCCCATACCTTAAGCCCAAAACTCTAAACCAAAGCGCAAAACTCTAGACCTTAAGCCCAAAGCTCTAAACCCTAAAGATCAGTCTTCGAGGCCTCTGTGCAAGGTCAGCTGCAGCTCTTCATGACGGAGGCCATCTCTCTGAAACGCAAAGTCCGTACATAAAACTACCATAACCTGCCTTCTTATAGGTTCTTATCATAGACCCTACGTGGCAGTTTAAAGCAAGGGTCCATGTTTGTGTGCATTGGCCGTCCGGTTCTCGCATTGCATACTGCATGGGTGCAGGGGCCGATCGGGTCATTGAGACTTGAGGGTATTCGGGATTGGTAAGTTATTGCTGATGGTGTGCAGTTGTAGAATGTCCGGAGTTTGGGGCAGCTTCGGAATGAAGATCCGAGGTCTGAAAGAAGAGAGGTGTAGGGTAGGGAGAACATGACCCAAAAACAGACCTCTCAAGCCACCCTAATTGAGAGCATCCCATAGTAGATGCAGGAACGAGACTCAACATCCTGTCAACACATTGGGTTTCCGGATCAAGTTCCTGCAGATGACTGGAATGAATGACCGTCAGGCTCTATATAGTCTATAACTACTCGGGCCTTATTGTAGTCCCTACATATACAGTAGCTTCAAGGCCCAAGTATGTGCCATATAGGTGCGTGGAGCCAGAGGACAAACCCTAAACCCTAAACTTAACAGGTGCCTTGCCTGTCTTGCATCGGGGCCATGGTTCAGCACCCTGGATCGGTCGAGTTGGGAGTCGATGCCGTTTCGGGGGCACATACTGTTGATGATATAAATCCTGCATTACCTTAAGGACCCTAAACTATGGGAATTATGGTATGTTCTTACGATGGGTAATGCAGGGTGTATATCATCANNTTGCATCGGGGCCATGGTTCAGCACCTTGGATCGGTCGAGTTGGTGGTCCTATGGCATTTCGGGGGACATACATCCCCGAACTTTAGGGCTTAGGGCAGGCATTTAAGCGCTTGCGGCTTTGATTCTGAAAGTGGGATCGTGAGCTCGGAAGGTTAGGAGGTGACAGTTATACGGGTTCTGCCTCCACATACAGTACGACGGTTCAGGCTTTTGACAAGGTTCGGCATTGTGAGAGTTCGTTGCCAAGTGCCTAAGATACTGAACCCTCAGTGGGGGGAGGGGCTGTTGCTGGAGAGGGGTCCCTTACTGTAGAGCATCAACAACATTATCCTCTACATGGAGAGCTGGGCCTCTTTGGCTGTTATCAAGAGCTTGCTGTAATCTGCACCTCTCCCCCCCCCCC